ATATATATATATGGAGGGGACCCCCCAGGGGGGCCACACGGGAGTCACCCCCGCGGGCCTTGTGTTTGACACATGTGCCATAGACGATTGTTTATGTTAGCTTTGAAGGAGATCTGGTAGAGTGCTGTGTGAATGGGTTAATGAGGGCACAGGTTGTGAAGCGCTTAGAGTATCCTGGTTGGGTAGAAAAGTGCTTTACAAGTACAGTCCATTTACCATTAGAAGTCCTTTGTTCTATATCAGAATTTTTTTAATATTAACATAAGACATGAATAATTGTATATGGTTAYATCATTAAAATTGTCAMACTCASACTTTTAAACARGTTGCATTGTTTTATGCATTAATAYAWTTAACTATTTATTCAAGGCTTTTTACCTGTTGGTATTTTTTATAGATACTCATCTACCAGTAATTCTCACACTAGATTCAAAATCTTCAACTATTTTCAAACCATTCAGTAAACCCTCACAGTCTTGAGGAGCAATTCAGCACTTGAACATGACGGGTTAAATCCCCTCCATGTGTCTGGAAGTTGCACCCCCCCAGTCCACAACAGACTGACTTTGTTTTAGACAGAAAGGCTTTGTCTGAGAAAGAGTGTGTTCGTGCCAGCCAGAGTGAAGACACAAGGTCACTGACACACCCCCAACCAGCATGCTGAGAATCAGAAAGAGTCAACATAAAGAAAACATAAATAACTGTAAGTTTGAAATGAATAAATTATATATCCTGAACTAAAGTATTCCTAAACCCAGTCTACCAACACATACACAACACTACAGTACAGTCTGATTTTACAAAGTTGTCACAATGAAGATGGCGCTATGTTCACGTTTCACAATGGTTTTATTATCAGTGTCTCTCAGGCCTTGTTTGTTTGCCGGTCGTGTGACCCAGGCTGGAGGCATCTATCCCATCAAATCACACCAGCCTCTGTTATCCTTCTGTTATCTCTCTGTCACCTGTTTYAGGATGATGGAATGAGCATTAAAAGTAAAATTAGCTGCTTTGGGAAAGGTGGAGCTCAGAGAGGAAATGATGTGAAGCTGCAGATGACGACACAAAGGTAGGCTTTGTTTTACAAATTACAGAAAAAGACCAMGAGCAAAAAAGTTGACCCTTGTAACATTATTTGTTACACAAAGTTAAATGTGTTTTTAGTTATATGGAGAGTAATACTGCATGTTCAGCATGTGTTCGAGACAGGCATCAAGGGGAAAACATTTTAATGATGCTGCAGTCTGAAATGAGAAGYGGAGCTGCTCGGCAATCTGCTGGTTTTTATGAGTGAATGCATTAATACACAGCTCCTACGCCTGTTAGGTGATTGACATAAATTAACAACACCTTTAGCATTGTGGCAAGACATGTATTCAATTTTATGAATCAATTTACTCATAGGTATTAAGAAATTAGTTTCAATTTGCTTTTACGTAACTAATTATATTGACACGTTACAAGCAGCATTTCTCTTTTGTTGACAGTGTGGGTCGGATCAAATGATTATAAACTAATTGCAGTTTAGTAAAGATCCATCTAGCCCAGAATCTATACATCTTTGACAACCTTTTTATTTCACTGCTGTTGTAAAACTCTGTTTAACTTAGGATACTGTTTAATTAAGAACAAGATGTACTAATAATTTGACTGTAGATATCTAGAAAATGTCACATATTTTAAACACATTTTAAAGATTTTGGGATTTATGTGTGGTATAAAGTTTCCTTGGGATCTAAAAAGACCAGCTGCTGTAGATCTATAAACAAGATGTTTTCTTCTCTTTATAGACWACTTTCAACCATTTGTTGTTTGGGCCTGATTTACTAAAGGTTTCAACGTATGAAAACGTGCAAAGCTGAGCAAAACAGCAGACACAATCCACTTGTGTTTGTCTCAATGAATATGCAGAATATATGTTATCAGAATATTCAAAAATACTGGGAGGAGGATATGCAAATGTAATCATTTAGCACCTTCAATGTCAAACCTGAAACTGATTGTGATTGCTGTTTTTTACCTTATACCATTGAAAAGTCTGTTAATTTCCTCTTTAAATGGTGCCACATTTGTAAGGAACACGCATTTGCTGGATGAGCAGTAGAACGTTTATGGGTTGCACACATGAAAAATCTGCCAAATCTTCTCTGTCAAACAGCTTATTCTGCTGTTGTTATAGACTCTTTATCACATTGCAAGATAGGTGCAAATTGGCATATAAACAAAACTTAGGTAATGACTATGACCAAGAGAGAGAATGTTCTGTGAGTATGTCAAATTTGGACAGTCAGAAAAAAAAAGAAACATATCATTGTCACAGTGTGAGTTTTTTTGGTTCTATTTTGGTTTGGGTTTTGTGGGGTTTCTGTTTGAGTTTCCTTTCTGTCCATCTCAGGTGTGTTCAGTTGTTGTGATTGTTATTGCCCTAGTCTCCCCAGGTTTCCCCTTCCCTTGTTAGTCCTCCACGTGTTTAAGTCCTGGTCTGTGTTTGTGTTATTCGTGGGTGCATTGTATTACTWGTTGCTGGGTGCATTGTGTCTCACTGCCTGGGTCTCTGTCATGTGAGTAGTCTCGTACTTTTTTTGTAACTCGCTGTTTTTGAAGCCCGTGAGTTTTTGGTTAACCTGCCAGCATGTGCTGAAGCAAGCCTGTGTTAATTAACTTGTTCTATTTTGTTCTATTTTTTTTCTCCTTGTCCCCGCCTCATGAGTCGCACACACCCAAGTTTAGCCCACGACAATCATATATCCTTCAATGTCACATTTGCTGCTGGAGGAACTAAARGCTGATTTGGAGCCAGTGCTAAATAGAAACCATATCTCCTATGAAGAAACCTCTTGTAACACTGCATTTTCTTGCATCAGGATTATTTGACTCCTTCACCAAGACCTCCAACTCCATGGCTTCAAACTTCTTTTTTATTTTAYGGCCACTTTGCTTTCCCAAACTCTCCATGGTGACAGCCAGTAGCACAGAGATTCTTAACCTATGGACCGCAGCCCAATAGTGGGCNGTTAAGAACCCCTGCAGTAGCACACACAAACTCCTCATTTCAACAGGGCAGTCCGCTCCAATTTTTCACCTTTTGTCATTTGTCCATCACTCTTAGTAGATTACCTGCGACACGCCAACTTAGAGCGCATGCAAATTTTTAGCTTGCACACACAATTTAGCATTCGTTATTTAGGATTTAAGCAGATCAGGTTCTTCATTATATCTGTTTGAATGGACTCAGTGATTMATGCTACCTGTTAAATTGTACAAAGAATGATTTTTCATAAAATGAAGATCATTATGGACCCTGAGCCCCCTATTCATTAGACTGTCAGTACAACAAAGTGTTTTCAATTAGAGGTTTCTTTAGAACCGCTGTAAGACGGACCTCAGGAGATCCTTCCTGCCCACAGCCATCAGCATCTATAACAACTCTTTAAAGAAACCAGGATAATATGAGTTACAACAACATTTATTTATTTTTGGGATTAATAAAGTATTTTTGAAATGAAATGAATTGAAATTGCCTAACGCAACATTTTAGTTGTTAGCGCTTCCAACAAAATTTTTAAATACAGGGAAACCAGTCTGTGGACTGAATCTTTTGCAGATTTTTTCATAGAACCCAAAAACTAGTAGTTTGCAGTAATATCTGCAATTTCATGGAAACTGGATATACAGTGTTGTGGAAATATTGCACTAAGGCAGAAACACGTGAATAAAAGACTGGTGCACTGTGGTTTGKTCGTCAAATGATTTAATAAGGTTTCCATTATGCAGAGGTGAGTGGCGACCGAGAGAATCAGTGACTCTGTCAAGCCATCACTGCTTAGCCACAGACAGGAAATGCATGTATATAACTTCCGGGCGTGGCCTGTAAAAACAAATAAGAGCGTGCCAAATCCTAAAGAGAAATTCAATAACCAATGAAAGTAATACAAGTTACAAATGCAACATGAAAATGGGAACAAGGTTGCAGCCATCAGAGAATCATGAGAACAGATTGTACAATGTGGCAGTTATCAGAKATACAGAACAGAACGTGTCAAGGTAACTTAGCAGTTAGGGAGGTTATATATTTCCACCACATTCAGTAAAAAACTGTACAATGAGGAATGTAATATATATATTTTTTCTTACTCATGCTATTTTGTGAGTTTTCAAGCTAAATCATTAAGATAAATATAACTTACTTTTTGTAACATAAACATCAACACAAATTCATTTCCATGTAAAAAAGATAAGGTACAGTACAATACGTGACACATGCCCTGTGCCCATGTTCTGAAGTGTTTCCCTCTTCAGTACCGCCTAGCATATAGCCTCTGTAGTGTGTTTTTCTTTGGTTCTTACTGCATTACAATGTCACCATGTTTTTTTTCACAATTCACAGGTACTCTAAAAACATGACTTCACTGTGTCCTCTGCTAGTCTTTGTGAAACATGGTAAAAATTAGCATTAATTTATCAATATAGAATACAGGATTTCCGAGTTCAAACTGTTGTTTTCAGTCCTAGTTCTAAAGATATGAAGCCAAAACGCATTTGAAAGGATTCTGCTTGTACTCAATTTCACTCCGTCTTGTTTTTAAGTTGGTTAAATATTTCAGCTTTTACATGAAGGCTTTATTCACAGACTTCTGTAAAGTTCAACAAGTGGCACATTTAAACACTTGACCTTTACTGGAGAACTTAAAGTGAAGGACAAAAACTTGGCATACTCACACACACACACACACACACACACACACACACACACACACACAGATAGAG